TGGCTGTTTCAGTGCTGACTGAAACGATGACACTTGAGCGAGACGGAATGGCGACTTCATCTTCCAGCACATTCAATGTGTGATTCCCTAATGTTGTGGAGGTCAGCAGCGGATTTTCCGAGGTTAATGTTATTGACTCAGACGTCAAGTCGATGACAGCGTCGTATTGACTTAGGAAGTCCATTCCGAGTATCACATCCGTGGAGTAATGTTTTAGTATTACAAAACTCGTTGGATGAGTCTGCTTATTGATGGGGACTCTTGTGTGCAGACTCCAGTCGGTGTTATAAATGACCTCCAGCTGTCTGAATTTCGGGGCCTCGCCATGCAGTCTTCACTTTCAACTTCTTCATAAAAGGCCCGCTGAGGACGGAATAATCGGCTACAGTGTTGACGAGAACAGTGATGTGGTGGCTATCAAATAGTACGTTGAGGTCGCTGGTTGGTCTTCGTGCATTGCAGGTGGGTCTTGGCGTCGGATTACGGCTACGTCAGCTTATTCGATTGCTTCTATGTTGCGTCGTCAGGTCTTCTGGCTGTGAAGGTTGGACGTCAAGGTCGCTTTGGTCTTGCGGCGAGTGCTTTCCACTTCATTGCGAGCGCAGCAGTGACGGAGGAAGATCTTTGGTAGGTCATCGTACAGAAGCTGCACCTCCTAGGTTGCTGCTCCTTAGTTTTCCGAATATCGGCTCGGGGAACAGCTTCGATTAGGACAGATGTACTGGCGTGGTTGCGGTGACATGTAGCGGCCTGGCGAGGGTGAACGATAAAGTTGTTGGAGTTTCCGCTGCGCTCTTGCGAGATAGTCGGTGATATCTTAAGGTCGTTCACCCCGCTGTGGATGCGGCACGTTCACGTCGAAACTGGGTAGCCCCATTTGTCGGTACTGGCAGCGGCGGTAGGTGTGGCCAGCTTCCTTGTAGTGGTAGCATAGTGGACGGTGGTCAAGAGCGCTGCAAACATTGGTCTTCCTTGTCGTGTATCGCTGGCCGGCTGGTGGGTGGTATAACAACAGTTGAAGCTACAGTGGTGTCTGGTGGTGAAACTATGGCGATGTGGCACCTTGGCGTGGGCATTGAGGAGGGGCATGGCGACGGGCTGCTTTAGCATAGCTCATGGCTTACAGCGGCGGCTCTGGAAACTTAGAAACGCCAAGCGATTGCTGGATCTCCTGGCTTACGATGTCTGGATGGAGTCCATTTGAGGCTGCACTGGAGGTAGCAATTTTCACAGCTCCTCTTACACGATTGCTCGGATCGTTTCACGCAGGTTGGCGGTTCCTAGCGCTTTGATGCCGACGTAGCTTGTAGCTGAGAAGCTGCGGTTATATTGCTGTGTCTACATCTTGAGCATCTCAATTATAGATGCTTCCGAAGCGAATTCGGCCACCGTCTTCGGTGGGTTCTGATCAATCAGGCAAAGAGTTCCCTCTTGACACACCTCATAAGGAAGCTCACTTTCTTCTCCTCGGTCATGCTGGGGTCAGTGTGACGAATCAGCCAAGTCATTTTTTCGACGACAACGTTCATGTTTTCGTTGGGGAGTTGCACACATGTTTCCAAAATAGTAGCGGCACGTTCCATGAGGACGACGCTCGTGAAGGTTCAGGAACGTCCTCCAAAAGAGATCCCAGGTTTGTAGCATGTATTCCTGGTTCTCGAACCACGTCTTCGCAGCGCCTGTTAGGTAAAAGTAGACGCGGCGCAGTTTTTTGTCGTGTTCCCAGCTGTTCAAAACAGCAACTCGGTCTTGCATTTCCAGCCAGCTTTCTGGGTCTTCATACAATGATCCCCGGAAAGTGAAAGGCTCCTTTGGCTGCCTGAGAAGAATCGGTGCTGGCTGCGTAACGTCATTCATGGTTTGTGCAGCTGATGTCCGGCATTTGTTGGCGCCTGGTGTTTTCGGCAAGCATCCCGTACTCTGGCTCTATTCCTTTTTGCTTGCAGCTAACTCGCTGCTAAGTGTTGGCCGTGACGTCCGCATGACGGTATGAGCTTAGCTCAGGGCTGGAAGGGGGAGTTTGGTACATGGGCCGGGAAGCACCTCCACCGGGATGTGTTCCACCTGCACCTTCGCACACAATACGGCACTGCAGGAGACGACGCAGATATCGTCATATATGTTAGTCTGTGGAAAAAAGTTAGTCAAGAGGCTCGACGCCAGGCTACCAAATGTCGATGATGAAGAAAACCTCTACATGACTGTCTACCTTCAGCACGCTGAAAAACCTGACAACTTGCCCGCCTCCGCATCAAGAACCAAGAGAATATCGACAGCCATCATTCCAATCTTCGACGACACTTCGCAGAATACCAACCCGGTGACCGTGTTTGGGTGTAGACGCTGATATGCCGATATGGACTCAGTGAAAAACTTCTTCGACGGTACTTATCGTACCAGGTAGTTCGCCGTCTTAGCACACTCGACTACGAGGTTGTCCCCGATGGCATTACCAGCTCGGAACGGCGGCTTGCACGACCTGAAGCAGTTCATGTCGTGCACCTCAAGCTGTTTCATGTGCTTCAACAAACTTATGGACAGTGTTCTTTGTTGTTGTTTTTCTATTATTGTGCCTTTTTCTTGCTTTAATATTGCTATTTTTATTGTTCATGTGTTTCCTCCAGTGTTCAGTTTTAAGCATCGGGATGATGCTTTTTTAGAGGGGGGCAATGCGCATGGCATTGCCCCCCTCTGACTACCCAACAACCACTTTAGCTCATGTGCGTTACAGGCCATATGACACACGTACAGAAAAGATAGGACTAAACAGAAATTCAAAAAATTTAAATTCTGGTTTTTGGGTACTTATGTCTAAGTTCCTTCCAAAATTAAATAGTTGAGATTTAACAAGGTGCTTGATTGGGCTGGTTGGTGCTGCATGGTAGACGAAGAAAGTGCTTAACAGTGCAAGCGACTGGAGGGGATAGAAGAGACGAGAACAGAGCGGTGAACTAACAACCAAAGTTTATTGCAATCCAACTGCAATATCCCAGCACCTCCACCACTTGTGAGGAACCGGTTTATTCGGCCAGGCTCGAGCTCAATCACGCTGGTGATGATATTCTTAGATGAAGAAGATGTACAGGTGATGATGATTACAAAGAGAATAAAGAGTCATTCGCTTGTCGCGCTCACACTATATAGGAAAACAGAATCTGCGCATAACCACGCAACATCAGTAAAATCGGACATACATGTGCCGAACGGCCTTCCTAATCAAGAGCCAGTCATATCAAGGGACCCTAGATAACGAAATTCACAACCGTGAAGAAAAATCGAAGGTGCGCTAACACAGGAAGCACCAAATTGTTGAATGTGGAAGGCTTCGCTAATCTCGCGCACGCGCTGATTTTTATATCGCCCCATAATCACACACTTGTCAAAAATTGGCTGGCAGCCACACTTATTACAATGGTCCGCCAAGTGGCTGGGAATGGAGCCTTTTAGAGAGCAAGCGTGCTCCCTCAAGCGATCAATAATGCATCGGCCTGTTTGGCTAATGTAACAGAGCCCGCATGTAAACAATATCTTGTATACAATCGCTAAAACACTATCAACATAGTGCGTAGCGTGTTTCTTAACGCATGCTTCTTTCTTAGGTCCTTCAGTATTAACTCTGCGACATAGCCCAATGAGCTTGTCGCGTGAGCAGAACACAACTCGTACACCTACTTTGCCAGCAACCTTCTTTAGCCTATGGGAAATCTCGTGTACGTAGGGAATAACAGCCGTGCTGAAATGTGGTGTGTTGAGTAGGCTGTTGCTTTGTCCCTTATCAGGTTTTCTTAGTGACGTAAGAGAATCTCAGCTATGTAAGTTGGCAGGGGATTAGGAAAACCTGCTTGTTGAAGGCGATGAACTTGGTGTTAGTCACCGTCAGTGATTACCTCTGGACTGAGTGCCCGAAACGAGTAAGCGCCTTATCTGTTGATGTCAAGAACTTGTTTTATTTCTAAACTTCTTGTATCTAGTGCAGTTGAGCTATTTTATAGTGTCTTGGAAACATTGCTTTAGTGATGAGCAATGAGGCTTTAGTGAGGCATTTCTACGTGGAATGCTGCTCTGTGTGTTTGAAAAAGCTTTGATAAGTTCGTTCAAGTGCTTCATTTTGTTTAGAGGGGCTTTGCAACACTTTTTAACCAAGGTCAAATAACCTTGTCGGTCACTAGACGAGCACCCGATATGGGAGGGAGCCTTGTTCACAATAAAAACCATAAGAAAGGCACAACGTACTCAAGCCCGCCCAAATGTGTCACGAAAGCAGCGATAGTACATTATCATAAGCGGCCCATCACTCCTGTTTAGAGTGTGTACAGTCCTCTGTATTTAGATTACAGATGCAGGCATGATGCAAATTTCTTTTAAATGCGGAGCATTTTATAGTCTCACCTACTCGTAAATCCGGCGTCAGCGGTGAAGTCTACACCCCTACTGTGCATGCCCGCAAGCCAAATATAGTGCAGCTTACTGCCAGGAATTGGCAAAAATTCTCATAAGCCAGCTAAAAGTTGCTTTCTCTTTTTTTGACAATTGATTCTGTATATTAAAAAATCATTGCATTACGGGCCCAGGTTCACCATTGGCTGGTTTGATTATGATGCACTCAGAATTTGATCGGGCTGCCATGGAAGGCCACAACTCTTTGTGCATGCACGCGTGAGCGCGTTGAAAAGTTCCTCATTCGAAGAAACAAAAAAAAAGTGAAAAATGCACAAGGTCACAAGGTGCGTGGGACGTATTTGTTTTGCCATCCCTCCCTGCTTATCTTCCAGCACGTTCATTGGGACGAGAGAAGAGAGAAAGCGAGTACAGCATACTACAAATCTTTGTAACTCCACTCATACTGGACGTATTCTAATACTTTTTGTGGCGGTGAACTGGTGAGGCAGTAAGCTCTTCAGTGAATCCATGCCATGGTTACTTGGAAAAGTGTTGCAAGGACCCTTTAAAGAAAACCTTCAATAACCGCGAGTTGTGTTCTTTTTTGTTGCATCTCACAGGTAGTCTGACTGTGCCATATGTTGCTCTTGTGGATGGTATCACTATGGGTGGGGTGAGTCACCACTGATTGAGCCTGCTTTCTTTTTCCAGTCGAGACAGTAGTATGTGCAAAAGTGTGTTAAGCATTTTTTTTCATCTTCCGAACAACTCACATGATCTTAATGAGATTTAACAGAAAATCATGCCAAGGAAAATATAGGGGATGTTATCAAAAGTGTTTGTCATGTAAAATGTGAAGAACAAAAAGTGGACGAAAAGGTAACTTGCCGTGTGCAGGGACCGAACATGTGACCTTGGAATAATGCATCTAATTAATGCTCTACCAACTGAGCTACCACAGCGGTTATCGCCCCCGTCCACTTTATGGGCCATATATGTGTCTTAAGCGTGGAAGCATCAGTCAGCACCTCCAGTAGCCATGTTGGCAAGTGTACCCCTTCATTCACTTTATGGGCGGCTATCCTCTCAGTCCACTTTATGGGCCATATATGTGTCTTAAGTGTGGAAGCATCAGTCAGCGTCGCCAGTAGCCATAATGGCGAGTTTACCACAGCAGGTATCCCCTTGGTTCACTGGATGGGTCATATATGTGTCTTAACCCTGGGAGCGTTAGTCAGCGCCGCCAGTAGCCATGACGGCGAGTGTACCACAGCGGCTATCCTCTTTGTCCACTTTATGGGCCATATATGCGTCTTTAAGTGTGAAAGCATCAGTCAGCGTCGCCAGTAGCCATGATCGCAAGTGTACCACTGCGGCTATTCCCTTCGTCCAGTTTATGGGGCATATATGCGTCTTAAGCGTGGGAGTGTCGCCAGTAGCTATGACAGCGAGTGTACCACAGCAGCTATCCCCTTGTCCACTTGATGGGCCATATATGTCCTAAGCATGGGAGCTTCGGTCAGTGCTGCCAGTAGCCATGATGGCAAGTATGCCACTGTGGCTATCTCCTCCGTCAACTTTATGGGCAATATATACATCTTAAAGCGTGAGAGCGTCAGTCTGCGCCGCCAGTAGCCATGATGACAAATGCACCACAGCAGGTATCCTCTTGGTTCACTTTATGGTCCATATAAGTGTCTTAAAGTGTGGATGCATCAGTCAGTGTTGCCAGTAGCCATGACGGTGAGTGTACCACAGCGGCGATCCCCTCCATGTACTTTATGGGCCATATGTGTGCATTAAGCCAATGGTGTGACAGTCAGGTATGGTCGTTGCCCTCGGCAAGTTACCTTTTCATCCACTTTTCTTTCTTAACATTTACATGACAAATAGTCCTAATAACATCCTTTATACTTTCCTTGGCTTGATGGTCTGTTAGATTTGACAAATTTTTCATCTAACAAAGAAAAGAAGCGCTCAAACGTACACTTCTTTGTTTGGCATCACGTAGCATTTAAACTTATCATATTATGAAACATATTATGTTCTGGCAACTGACCAATCATTGCTTCTATACTACCTGAAGGCACCAAGTGTGCCAGAACGAGACCCCGGTTTTGAATGCAGGAAAGAAGGACACATTGAAGAGCTTGTTTTCTTTGTTCGACACAATAATAATGAGATCTAACAGAAAATTATGACGAGATTGTCGGTTAGATCTAATTAATATTTCGTCTGACAACTTGCACTGTGAGCTTTGTTGTGCAACAAATTGGTCAGCATCACTTTTCTCTTTAAGCTCATAGTGAAGATTCATTTCTGCAGTGATGTTTTTTCTACAGCAGGCACACATATATACGTAAGCAGCAAGTCAAATAAGAAAAGCTGTCTAGCACCATTAAGAAATCTGTTGCATAGCAGATGCATTTTTTCATGCCGTTATTTTAATTTTCTCTGACATAACTTTTCCAGAGCTTTCCAGCTTGAAAATAACTTTACAGAGTGGCATTGTTGATTTTTTTTTTTTTTAATTTCAACGTACAATTGAAGGGTTTAGATGCCGAGCATTGTGATTAAGGTGCAGGTATAGTCATGCAGAAGTAGTGTGAATCACAGGCGACACATCAATAAGAAAAAGAAAGAAGAAATTAAAGAAGATGACCTCATATTTAGGGTTGCCTGTTAGGATATAAATTTAAAGAAATTGAAATAAATAGCTAGTCGCCTTTCGTATAACAGCAAAAGCTGTTGTGAGATCACAACTCGGGTCACGCGCAGTTGTCCGCCACCGTTGCCGCTGGTGTCTGTAACCACATCGCCCGAAATTATAAAAAAAAAACAGCACCAATGACACAGTGGGGCTCAAACCCTGGTCCACTTGGGGCCAGCCCTATATTCTACCACTTAGCTGCGCCGTGACTTGTTGGCAAACTTGCCTTAGGCAGGCTTGATGTTGGGAAAGCAATTGCGTTAATACGACTTATAAAGCATTTTAAAACAGCGAAAGAACAACCAGTCGCACAATGCGAATAGCCTAACGAGTGGGCCATTCAATGCTCCAACCCATTATAAAAGCTTGTTCTTGTTCCCCTATTAATTGTGGCGCATACCCACTTCAGCCATAATTCCTCATCGTTGTCAGCCATTGCATGAACAATTGGCACAAAATTCCTTGCAAGTGTTTAGCGGATACCACGATTCTCAGAAGAATGATAAAAAATAGCGTAGCAAATGCCGGCCTACTACCCAAAAGTTTATTATGAATGCCCTAGTGGGTATCAAGCAAGTGGGCTTGCAGTAGTTATGCTGTGAGTGGGTTGAAAAGGCCCTGAAAGGCCGCTCTTCTCGCTTTCGCTGTGACTGTGCTGCACCTTCCGTGCAGGCCTGGCGTTTTTTAGCTTCAGTTAAGGAATGCTATTAATATTAAGTTTGTACAAATTAAAGCTGGTTCTCTATAATTGTAATGGTTAAAGAAGTCAAATTTAAATCTTCTGAATGCAACAATAATTTTATTTTATTCACTTGAGTCAAAAGCCAAACATTTTTATTTAGCAGGGTCAAGCAAGATTTCGCTATACAATGGATTATTTGCGGTACAAACCTGGCTGATACAAAGTTCAGATGGTACAAAATTGAAAAATTTCGTGACCTGGAACTTTAATGGGCCTACAGGGCTAAATTTTGGATGTTCTGAACACTTTTTGGCATCGCAATGAGTGATATAAACTGATACCATTGAGCGGTGGCCTTGAACAGTGTGGTCAAAACCATAGCCTTCTAGATTTTTCTTGCCTGCCGGATGAGCGCGAAACGCCCGTCATCTGGGGCGGCGCTACCTACGTTGGGTTAAGGGTCTTTGTACTTGGCCTTTGAGATTAGCAACTTTGGCGTTTGCTAATTTCAGAGGCTATGCTTTGTATTGAAGGGTTGCTTGCTGAATGAGTGCAAAACGCTCGTTATCTATGGCAGCGTCACTTATGTAGGGTTAATTATAAATAATTATAATGACATTTACACTCTTTCAAAACTTTTTTTTGTTATTTTTATTGTATATAAGCCCCAAAAATGCAAAAACCTATTCAAAGACAACCCTACTTAAGTGGCGCCACCACCGCAGTTTCGACGACGGCCGCTTTCCAAGTGACCGCCGATAATCCGGTAGGCAAGAGAAATCGAGATGACTGTGTTCAAAACTAGGTGCACACTGATAACTGTTATTATCGTTTGCAACAACCACGGTGGACAAAACTGCAGGTACTACTGACACAACCATACATGCCAAGGACAAAATTCCTAAAGTACAAGCTCATCTGATGCTAACTTAGTGAAAGGCACGTTGCTTGTCACAACCACAGTGTACTGTACCGTGGAAGACACAATCATAGGAAACAATTACATACAGTAGACTTCCTTTGACACAAACTTCAAGGGACCGTAATCATTAGTTTGTCTTATCAAGAGTGCCCCCAAAAACCAAATGCTAACATGCCAAGTATGCCCAAATATGTTGCTTGAAAAAAAAAAAAACTCAATGAAGTATACTTATAATGGGGAGGAAAGGAACAAGGAAATGCATTTATTTGTTTCAGCTTGATAAAAACTTTGCTTTCAAGTAGAGTATGGAGAATAATGTAACAAGTACTCGATTTCATGAGTTTATAATAAATGTGCTCATGACTAAATTGCTACAACATTTTAATAATGAAACTGTAATGCGACCTTTTTTTGACTATAAAAAAGATAAAAAGAGAGAAACAAGCACAATTTTTCTACAAAGAATGAAAAATTTATCCTTTTGATTGTTCAGTTTCTGAGAAGCTGCATTACTGGCTTTGCTATCACTTTCGGATAGGCCTCCGTTGCATGCCATTACCTTAACAAAGCCAATATATGCCAAGTTGCTTGTGAAAGTCTGTAAACTTTTCGCTAAGGTTTGGATATTTTCTTATTTTCAGCTCGCAGTAGCTTTTCCTGATTGACATAGAGCCGTTTACGCAGCTCACAATCACAAGCCTCGGGCACACAAAAAAAGACACGGCGCAGCTATATTTAGTGTGCGAAATAACCTTCCGAAATAACTACACACCCAGCTATTCGTCGATGGAGTAGCTTCAAGAGATGGACAAAGCGGTTTTCTCCGAAGAAATACCAGGAAACAACGGACCTTCAGTCACACTGGAGCTGCATGAGGATGCTACGCTGAAATTTTTCAAAGCTTAGTCCGTACTTTTCGGCCTGCGAACGTCAGTCGAGAATGAGCTTGACCAACTGCAGAAACAAAGAATCATCAAACCGGTGCAACATTCAGAATGGGCTACACCACTCGTCCAAAAGAAAAACAGTACCCTACGCCTCTGCGGAGGCTGCCGGAACACTGTCAACCTGACAACAAAAGCATCTTCGTACCCACTACCGACCCCGGAAGAGGTTTTTAGTTTGCTTCAGCGTGGAAAGATCTTAAGCACCTTGGACTTGACACAAGCCTGTCAGCAACTTAAGATGGGTGAATCAATGTCTGCACTACTCGCGGTAAACACCGTCAAGAGTCTCTACGAAGCCAAAAGGCTATCATTCAACATAGCCGCAGCGCCAGCAATCATCCAGAAGTTTATGGAGTCTATGCTTAACGGTATTTCAGGAGTTTGCGTCTACTTGGATGATGTTATTGACGGTGATGCCTTCATTTAAGAGCACGTGGAACGCTTGGAGCTCATTCTTCAATGGCTATCAAATGCTTACTTGTGCAACAGCAAAGCAAAATGTGTGTTTGCGGTCCCTGAAGTGAAGTTTCTCAAACATCAAATTGACGCATACAATATTCATCCCACTGAAGGCAAAGGGCTAGCAAACACGGAAGCATGAGCGCCTACTAACAAGCAAGAACTGCAGTCATTCATAAGATTATTAAACGTTCTATGACCGGTTCTTAGAAAATTGGGCTGCAGTGGCCGACAATCTGTACCAGCTCCTGCAGAAATAAGTCCCATGGACTTGGTCGCCACGCCACCAAAAGTAATTCGCTGTGCTTAAAGAAATACTTCGAAAGTCTACTCTTCTGCAACATTACGACCAAAGGAAACCCCTATTGCTAGCCTGCGACGCCGCACCATATGGAGTGGGAGCAGTTCTCTCGCAAGCTGACAAGCAGTGACGGGAAGCCTCAATCGCTTTTGCATCACACACTCTATCGCAGGCAAAGAGGAATTATTCCCAGTTGGATAGAGAAAGCTTTTTGATCGTCTACACAGTAGACCACTTTCGCCAGTACATTACAAGCAGAACAGTGGCATTCATAATTGACCATCGGCTCTTATTGGGTACTATGGGTCGCCAGAAGTCAATGTCACAGACATAGTCGCCGTAAATGGTGCGATGGTGCATCAAAATGTCGGCATATGATTGCGAACATACATTGCACTGAGAAGAAACACCAGAACGCTGATGCACTAAGGCACTTGCCACTAGACACCACAATCGATGTGGCACCTAGCACCTTGAGCATACTCATGTTCGAGGTGCTGCTGAACCCTCCGCTAACAGCTGACATGGTTGCAGCATCAACGAAGGAGTGCACTGTCTTGAAGGAAGTCTACGCAGCTATACAAAAGGGCAACATGCAGAAGCTAAAGGGTGAACTCTTCAACACTTACCGCTAGCGAACTATGGAGTTAAGCACTCATCGCAGCTGCATCATTTTGAGATGAAGAGTTGGGATTCCATTAGCACTTCGCAAATAAGCCATGTCACTTCGCAAATGAGCCATGTCACTTCTCCACGCATGTTATCGAGGCATGTTGCCATAAAGAAGTGTGGTAGAAGTTATATGTTGGGGCCTGGTATCAACCATGACATATATATAAGTGCTACTAGATTGGCTGCCTTGTGAATGTAACCACAGAGCCCCACCAAGAGCCCCTATTCCTGAATGGGAAAGACTAGACACGCCTTTATACATCCTGCAGATTGAGTTTGCTGGACTCATCGAAGGGGGTTCATTCCTGGTGGTTGTAGACGCATACACAAAGTAGCTTGAGGTAAAGGAAATGACTACAACATCGGCAGCAGTCATCGACGCTTTTCAGTCATTGTTTGCAACATTTGGCCTACCACGCAAGCTAGTCTCAGACAATGGCACTATGTTTGTGCTCATGGAGATTCTCAAGCGTTTTAGTGACAACGGCGTCTCATTTGCATCAGATCATTATCACCCAGTGACAAACGGACAAACTGAGCGCTGCGTGGCAGAGCTTAAAAGCGCACTTACAAGAGATCAGACTGGGAAGAGGCAACGCCGCATTGCACGCTTTCTCTTCAGCCAGCACGACATTGTTCAAAGCAACCTAGGGCAAACGCCAGGAAGATCGATGTTTGGATGAGAAATGAGAACCCAGCCGACTAATTGTCCCGGAGCCCTCATCGGCAACACCGTCGAAGAAAGAAAAGTTCCTGATACGCAGGAGAATCAAAATTGCACAATGCGTATATGCATGCCAGTTCAACAAAAAACCCGGCTGGATTTAAGCGACGGCACTCAAAACGCAGAGGTTCGTGCCTATGGCTCGTCGATATAGGCGGAAAGACCACTTGTTGCCACCTTAATCAGCCGCGTCGTTCAGGTAATATGCCAAGGGAGGCTTCCTTTCAAACAGGCATCCTGATGGAAGCATCATCCCACCTAGGCTGGCATATCGCATTAGATGTATCGGTGGCGCCACCGGCTGTCCCAAAACGCAAATAAAATGACACACAGCAAGTGGAGGCTTCTCCGAAAGTGCCTACAGCATTCACTTGCCCACGATGACACCCAGACCGCCTTCAAAAAACAATTTAAGGTGGGGGGAGATTTCGTGCCCCAATTTTCAAGAGCACCTTTGTTTCTGATCGAGCCCCGAATGTCTAAGCATTTCACCGTACCTTCAGTTGTCCAGTTGTTGACTGCTCTCAGTCTCCCCCGCTTGTAAGAAGCAAGTCACGACTCGTTTCCGACGGCAGTTTGGCTGCCGCCTCCTAGTAGGAATAAACATGTTTCTACCCGTTCCAGACTATGCTTTTTATACCACAGCACCCTTTGTGCACGTCTTTGGACTGACAACAACTCCAGACATATTCTAGACTGTCGATGCTTTTTAAATCACCGCACCCAGCGCGTACGTCTTTGGGCCGACAACTACCCCGGACATAATAGTTGTGCACTTTCATAATAAAAATGGCGCATCAGAATTTTCTTCATTTCACTGGGAACAGATAAGATGCCCGCAGGCCGTATGCAAAGCAACGCAAACTGACCACAACATGTGCTCTGGTGCCATTGTGTGACAGCGATGACAATGCGTCTGACTCCTCTGATGGGAGTGCTAGTGCCACATGTGTGGTTTTCGTTTCATTTGATTATAATGTACTAACAATCTTTGTTGCCGTTTTCACTTCACTTTTTGTTGTTGTTTTTTTTTGCCCCGCTTCCCTTGCCTTTTCCCCTCTAGCCAAGCTCTTGTAATCTTCTGTTCTCTACTGTGCTGTAGTTGGGGAACTGACAAGCGCGAGGAGAATACGAAATGATGAATGCTTTTTGTTGCTTTCTTTGCTTAATAAAGCTGGCCCTTTTTCCACCTACAGGCTAGGGGTGAGGAAGATACTAACTTTATGCGCTGACTATTCTTTTCCACTTGTCTCGCTTTCTCCCTCCACGTCACAATTTGCTTTTGATTTGCTTTGAGTCTTTGCACCAGTAAGGTTTTTTTTTTTTTCCTTGCTTTTTTTCTTTGCTCGGCTGAATGCCTCCATCAAGACTCATTTGTTGTCAGAATACCCATTGTTGTTGGTCGCTGTGAGAGTTCATCTTAACAGAAGAGGGCTGCTATGCGGTTCATCTTAAGCAAGTTTTTTTCTTGCGTTGAGTCTATGGCAAACCTAACAAACACTGCAGTATTCGTTCTAAGTAAGAATTGGTCCTAACAGCAGTCGTCTTAACGAGAGTTTACTGTAGTTCTAAAGGCATGCACGCGACCCGCACACACGAATTGAAAATGTAACGACCGTTTCCTGCAACCATAGCACATGAAACCACAGTGGCTATTGAAGCAATCATCGGTAGCTACTGTGCTCTCCAAAGGTATGCGGCTTAAGCAGATTAAAATCACTAAAGTTGTAAAAAGGCACGAAGAGTTTTGGTGTTTCTGTCACTCTTTGCTGACTACTGCCATGAAGCAAACTTTTCGCACTCAGTTTCCAGCTGGCCTCACACAAAGTTCCACCGCGTGCTTTTGTGGCAGCCAGCTGCACCGACCCTTTTTCGTCTGCTCGCTTGTCTCCCACAAAGACATGTGCGAGTTATTTTCATGGACATAAATGTTTTGTCTCTTTATCATGGTTCAAAAATAGATTTAGCTCAGTTTTGGTCATATGAATATTTTTGCTCTCCTTGAGATTTCTATCCCTGCCATTCTATTGTATGCTGCTGTGAATTCCTGTCTTGCAGCAGTAATGTTTTCTGCTGCAAGACGGGAATTACGGTAAGTGTCGTCACTCAGTGGGTGCCTCATCGTTTCATCATGCAGGGCGTGGGACTTTCAGTTCATGGCACCTTTCGTGTGGCAACGGAGAGAACGGTGTTTGCCATGCCTGAGACTGCCATCGGTGAGTCTTTGCCATACCTCTCGCACTAGCTGATATATGCGTGTCTAAGTTTTAAACTTCTATAAGTCGCTGATCTCATGGGTTCTGGTATTTATGAGCTGATTGACACAAGATGGCACAGTGCACTAGGCTTCATCACATGCCAAAAATCTAAAAAAGAATTCACAGCAGCACACTTAGAACACCACATTTACTCACGTAATGAATGCACTCACATAATAAATGCACCCCCCAACTTCAGTTGTCAAAATATGGATTTTTTTTCCCTTTGTAATAAATGCACTCCCTACATTCATCCGCTGCTCTCCCGCTAACCGATACGTGGTGCCTCCGCACCCGTTGGATCTTTTCCTTTTTTTATTATTATTCCGACTTCTCCTGGCCACCTCGGCTTGCTCCCTCCCGCCCTTCGCCCATTGCTGCGTGTCGTATTGTTTTTCTATCTGTGCACGGCATGTCCCCCATCTTTTTAGGGGCGAAGCTCCTTAGGGCGTGGGCTGTGCGTCCCCTGTATGTAGCCACCTCTAGTTTAGTTCTTGCAGTGTTCACTAGATGGCGGTACCGTCCCCTGTAAGTAGCCACCTCTAGTTTAGTTCTTGCAGTGTTCACTAGATGGCGGTACCGTCTCCTGTATGTAGCCACCTCTCGTTTAGTTCTTGTAGTGTTTACTAGATGGTGGTACTTGTAGCTGATGATGAAAAGATGCAAGATGTTATAAACTAGAAAGCGGTACTTGTAGTTGATGAAAGACGCGAGATCTTATAAAATAGGAATGATGTCACATATGGCGCGTGTCATTGGTTGAAGGCAATCGTTCGACTTAGTGCGGCGACGTACGCTAGGGGGAGCGATGTAATAAAATCGAGTGGGCAAAATGTACAGAGGATTCATGGTTTACCAGGTTTACCTCCGGAGCTTCGCCCACTCATCATCATTCACTTCGTGGATATGGCGGCACTTTTTTTTTATCTGTGTGCCACAGCGGGGTTCACGAACAGTTCAAGTGTAGAGACCTCACACGTGATAAGCAAAGAGCGAGCGAAGGTCACGAAACTGCCCGCGCCAACAGACGGTTGGTTCCTGCAAATACGAAACTTTAAAAAGGCCCAATGACGTGCATGCGATTTTCAAGTGACCATGACAAGATTTGCTGCCGCAAAGGGTCATTCGTCACTATCGGGTGGCAGGTTTCTTGAAAGCCAGAAAAAGTCGCTTGTTGTCCAAAAAAGGTCATGACGATTTTCGCAACATGGTAGCACCCCGAATTATCGTTCTGCTTGTTCTCTGCGCATACAGGAACTTCTCATGTGGAAGCGAGCCGTTGACCATATTTTGTCATTAATCTTGTTATCGGCAATTTGTTTTGATGCTTCGAGGGTAGCTTGCTGCAATGTTGGTTACTTGCTACAAGGTCAACCTCGTGCGAGGTTGTCGCGAAGTTGGGAAAGTGCGTCGTAGTGCACACTTCTGAGTGCCCCTCGACATCACAGCAGATACCACTGTTGCGATCAAAAGATTGGGAGAGAAAATAGCCTCAAAACGCTTTTATGGCATGTGCGGACGACGCGGAGGCAACTTGCAGAAGATGGCACTATCAACCACAGAAGATGAGTAAAATGCAACAAAGAATCTGTTTCCAAACAGCATACGCTTATGTCGATTGGAAAGGCTAAGCCTCCTAACTTTTTTTTGCATTACCGCATTTTTTACTCATCCCGAAAAGTTGCATAAAATTTTTTCCGCATAATAAACACACCCCCAACTTTGGTCCAATTTTTTAAAGAAATATAGTGCATTCATTATGCCAGCAAAAATACAATATAACTACAGATGAGAAATACAATGGCATGTGCATAGGGTGTTGCATAGCTCCTATCTTGTGTGGCATTTTTAATGAGATTTTTAATGAGGGGTTGGTCTCAGCTAATTTTTGGTATGTTGATGATTTTTCAGTGCTTTTCTAGAAACAGCTGGCTTCTGCCTACCCTTCTACTGTTGCCGAAGTTTAATCTGTTTTATCTCACATTGACTTGGCTTGTGTTTTACTCATGAAATCCCCGAGTGTTCCGTTTAACAGTTTTTAGCCCTAGAAATAACGTTCTGTGATAGACATGCCTACTGGGGCTACTATCCTAGAGCTACAGAGGGTTTATTGCCCTTTGATTTGGTGCATTTGAAGACAAAATATTTAAGAGAATTACAACATTGATATGCCTAGAATCTGCTCTAAAAAAATTGTGCCCTCATGAAATGATGCCTGCTCTCAAAACCAGGTAGGCCATCTTTTAGCTTTAGGGTACTCGAACACGGTCTTGGAAGTTGTTTCTGAAACCCTGGCTCAAAAATTGAAGTGGGAACGGAGCATACGACAGCTTGAAGAAAACCAGAGGGCCCTTAGGCCTGAGGTTGTGCCATACATACATAAGCTTTTTCACAACCTGAAGAAGGTGGCAAGTAGGCTGGGGGTTTATATCTGTTACTCTGCCCCTAATAAGCGGGGAAAGTTGTGCCCATTAGCGTGGATGACAGAAGAAGCATAAAGCATCGTCCAGTAAGTGTTTCACTGGGACGGTGTATTCCATTCCTATGTCATGTGGGATGTCCTACGTTGGAAAAAGCGGGCGCTGTGTCGATGACCGTTCGGGAAAACATGCACCAAAATTGCGAAAGTTGGACGACAACTATACGTGTTCAGTTGCACATGTTTGTAAGTGCACAGGATGTGTGGCGCGATTTGAAGAGATGACGATTCTAGGTAGGAGTGATCACAAGACTGCACGTATCATTTTGGATGCGTATCTGGTTAAGAAACTTTATAACAAGTGCGTTAGCGCTCCAGCTTTTACATTCTCTGATGCAGAGTTTCATCTCCTGAATGCGGCTGTCAGGAAGGCTTTTTTTTTCTTACTATTAGAATGAACTGACGGTTTGAGCCCTTCATCTCCACCCTCTTTACCGCGACCTTTCCCCCTCAAGGGCTTGGGTGTTTTCAGCGCTCCTTCGTGGTTTTCCCTCTCTGGTCTTGTTCTGAAAGGGAAAATGAAAAAAAAAAACACGTGTTTGTTACGATGATTCCTTGGCTGTCGTTTTTTATTTATTTTTATTTAATAATTCTGTCAACCCTCGCTTGAGGGTCATAAGAGGGAGGGAGTAGAATATGAGTACAAACAGAACACCTAAAAAAACCACTAAGCAATAAACACAGGAAAACAGAATGGGCAGTACTTCAACCACTACCAAAATAAGCATCAATTTCTCTGTCAAAAGTTTGCACATCGGTACTATTAATAACATGTTGGGGTAAAGAATTCCATTGTTCTATAGCATCCGGGAAAAATGGCCACCGAAAGATGTCAGTGCGAGTGCTAAAAGGTTCAATGGGGGCATCATGATTCAATCTAGTGCTACGTTTTCCGGGAAGGCGTATATACTCGTCTTTAGGTACTTTGAATATCCCTTGGATTATACGAAATAATGTTTTAAGTTTTTGTTTCCGTCTTCGAATTTCCAGTGATTCTAAATTTGCTTTTGCTTCGTTGGTGCTGTGCACTGAAAAAACCTCGTTAACCATCCCTCTTTTTTTTTTCATCCTTTACTCTGGCATAGATAGTGTTTTATTCTGCCATTAAAAATTAGTTACAAGTCAGCGCCTGTATGTCCATGACTTGTCTCTTGTGGGTGTGCTTTCGCGCTGTTATTCCCATGCTCTACAAAAAACCAACTTGCCCAAAAAAAAGTTTTGATAAAGTTCCTACATGGAGATGCACTGAGCCGTTACAGTGGCCCATCATATTTTTAATATGCTTCATTGCATTACACTGTGATATTGCAGCAAAGCTGCCTTCAGGGCTCTGGTATGGTCGCAAGTGGATTGAGTCTCAGTAGTGCTGATTTGAACCTATGTGGCAAAGGTGAAGGCCTAATTAATGCTGTTTCAGACCAGGAAGTCCAAAAAAAAATCAAACATGTTCAGCATCCGAAATTTCAGATGTTATAATACGTTGATGTTTACAGGGCAGATTAACAACTCCAAATTCTAAGGGAGCGTACCCTTGTCCGACTAATCAGTTGGGCATCCACTGAGGTTGAAAAGGGGAAAGATGGAGAAAAAAGTTTCTTTCCCTTTCACATGTAAATGTTGTTAACACTACATTGGTTTCACCGAATTGTGTAAATAAATACATTTTGATCACTGCATTGCCTCATTCTTGATAAAATAGCTAGGGAACACTTGCTCTCCAGCAGTTCACCAACCTAGCAAAAAAAAGACACTCCCATGTTCCGTCTTATAGGACTGTACTTAAGGATCGTCTGCGGCCTTTTTTCTGTGAACTCACTTTGAAGTATTCAAAAAATCTTAAACAAAAAATACTCAACTACTATTTAAAAAATATTTTATTCGATTTGTCCTCCAACTTCATTGTTCGAATTTACTTCGCACCTATAGGTTTTGCTATTTACACAGCTCTACTTTTTTATGATGATGAGCTCCCAAGCTTACTTGCTATTGTCCATTTATCATAACATTTAGAAAGTGATGTGCTAACAGAGATTCTGAAACCTTTAAGATGTGCACCATAGTCCGTCTTTTAACTTTTGCTGTGACATTGTTTGTCGGGTTTCCCGTGCAGGCTTTTTCCCCGACGTTGGCGGAAGCTATGTGTTGCCACGGCTACCAGGAAAGCTGGGCCTCTACCTGGGCTTGACTGGGCAGCGAATGATCGGCTGGGACGTCCTCAAGGGCCGCATCGCCACTCATTTTGCATCGTCTCAGAGGGTGAGGAGACCGGGTTGTCTCTGTAGTCAGAAACAGTGAAGGTGGAATTGTCACTCCGTTTCAGCTTTCCGGTTCCCATTTGGAGGTTTTGATCTAAATGAGGGGGAATTGGGCTAGAGTTAGCAAACATGCTCATCTTCTTTCGGGCTGGCTCATTTCAGTCTGGCTACAAAGCATTTTTATTTCACGTTTCAGAATCGAGTGTTTCATGTGCGAGTTAATGGAAAAACATGATGGACCTACTCCTGAAGTTTGTGTGCAGCAAATAATTGTGGTTAATGATAATGAGTCATGCAAAAAGACTCCATGCTGTACGAGTATCAATGCACAAAGCAATGTCATATAATGCAAGGATGACAGCAACATCATTGTTTCCAGTGGCGGTGCCTCTGTGTGGTGGTGCATACCAGAACAAAGTTTTCACGTCCGTGTGGACTACCTCTGAAGCTTTCTTTCTCTTGATCATGGCAAAAACCACTCACAAGCACCAAAAACACAATGACAATGCAATCTTGCTCTTTCCGCTTCCAGGTGGTTGCAAATTGAGCAAAAGTGGAACCTAGCGACCAATCTTATTGATGCGCAAAATTATAGAACTCGCAAGTCATACCCACCATGGAAGACGAAGCAGCATCCTGTTTTAGTTTCTGTTTTGACTCGTCATTTCTTGCTTAATTAAAATTAATGACGAGTGCTTAGGCTAAATGAACCACCCTAGCTTTTCCAGGACTGTGAATACTATTTGAAAACAGGATTATCTCAGTATGGTCAAAAATGCACCGGAGTTCCCCTTTTAGTCTCCTGGCTGCGAATGTGAACCATGTATCACACACACTGTTCTTGCTTCAGTGCACTCTTTTTGATGCCAGATCTTCATGCCTTGGGCAAACTTCCCGCGACCACATACCGAATGGCAGGCTAGGCCTATTTGAAGTTGGTTAATTGCATTTCGGTAGCAATCGTGTGCAATCTGAGCCACGATTTTGTACGAAATCAACAAAACATTTTGCGGTGGCTCCACCTGGCGCGAAGAGATACATCTTGTTAATGAAAATGAGAGTGGCTCGTGTAGCGCTCGAATGTTGGTTCACGATTCGATTTCAACGTCTCAAAATCAGGTGCGCACCCATGAAATCGAACAATTGGTGTCTTTGAGAGTGGGAAATTCTGGGCGTGATTCAATACTCCATGTAATGCACATAATTGTGGCAATATGAGAAGCAGTCTGGGAATTTTTACGATGGTACCCCCTATTTGACCCCCCTCTTCCCCTCTTTTCGTGTTCATTTCATTGGCAACATGTGTCTTAAAAATGTTGCCATTTCATTGGCAACATTTCATTGGCATCATGTGTCTGGACGTTAAGTTGTTTTTTAACATTCGGACAGTTAAAAAGTTGCAAGCACCACGCATCACATACTTCGATTCTAGAACACGTGAGGCTGCTTGCTCATTAGGTTTTGTGCGATTGTGGCCCTTGAAACAGGCTGTTTTGGTTATAGCGTAGTACCACTTACAGTGCGGATATTCGTGACTCCCGAGATGTATAATCGGTCTATACTGTAATTACCACAGGGTGTACTGTTTCTGATTGCAGTGTAACTATTTTCATTAGCAAAGCAAAGTGTTCCCATAGTGAACTCTCACTTGAGTGAACTTCAAGGGACACAAAGAAATAGTTCACTTAACTGAAAGTTTGCTAAACTTAATGTTCTTTAGAAAAAGAAACGGCATTGTGTATAACAGATGTCAAGTCAAAAGCGTCAAATGCAGTTTTACTTTCAGAAGAATTATCTCGCTTTTTTTTTGCTTGCACCCTTAAAGCACAAAAAGAGGCACAGCTGGCTGCTGTGACACAGAAGTCTCGCCACTTGCCAGTACAATGAAATCTAGGTAGAACGAACACCACAATAACAAACTTTTTAGATGAATGAAATTTTAAAAAATCTCACATCAACTTCTAATAGTTTCAATGTAAAATTATTTTGCTGCTACATACTTCAGAATATCAAAATTTTCGGAATAACGAGTGCTAATTTAGTTTCACGCTATATTAACAACGCCTCAGTACTACGAACTTGTGTTTTGAAATCCGTCGCGACCATTGGAGCGGTACGCAAGCAGACGACACAGCGAACAGATGCCTTGCTTTTCGGAAGACTCGCGGCTGTGCAAAAGGGAAAAAAAAAAAAAACGAAAGTACGACTGTTTTTTTCTTTTTGTTGAAACGCCGACGCTGCAGGTTTACAAGCGCAGAGGTGAGGGGCAAGGGCAACATAGGAGGGCAAAGTCAGCGCGGTAGAGTGGGAGTTGCGGAGCAGAAAGCATGGGCAAGCAAAACCTGAGACAGCGAGGGAGCAGAAAAGGAAACACGAGAAATTTTCTTTTTTAGCTCGTTTTTTTTTTTTTTTTCGGAAGAGGCGATGACAGCCACAACGCTTCAGATTTTTCTTATCTTTGTCACTTCTACATGTGCTCTAGGAGGCCTTGTCAGTTGTGTTCATCTCTTTTCTGTAATTACTTATCCCCTCCGCAAGGCAAGGCGGCATTCGCACTGCGGTGCTGCTACAATGAGTTCATCTCTGCTTGCGACGAAGAAGCGAAAGCAGTTTTCACTAAGCGAGAAAGCGGATATTCCTTGGCAACTGGAAGACAAAAACCAGGCTGTCGTGGCCAAAGAAGTTGGAGTGGTGCGATCCACAATAGCCATGATTCTGAAAGATAAGGATTCTGAAAGAACTGCCAGAATCGGAAAGAAGTGCCAGTCGCAACTGGCCCCCTCAAGGAAGCAACTACGGCTTGGTGACTTCCAGCCGATAGACTCTGCGATGCTCACATGGTTCAAAGACATAAGAGCCCAAAACATGCCCGTGTTGGGCCCACTGATTCAGGAGAAGGTGCGACAGTTTGCTGCAGTTTTGATTGTAACAGACTTCGAAGCATCTTCTGGTTGGCTTCACCATTTTCGCCAGCAAATTGCGATCATCTGGCAGACTGTGTCCGGTCAGAAGAAGGCAGCAGACGAAGCGGCAGTGTCCACGTGGCGGGAAGAGAAGTTTAGGAAAACAATGAAGCCATACGGTGCGGCCAATATATTCAATGCTGATGAGACGGCCTGCTTCTACAAACTTCTGCCGGACAAGACGATGCACTTTAAGAGTGCAAGGGCGGCAGAAAATTGAAGGTTCGCGTTGTTGTTCTGTATTGTTGCAACGCAACCGGCACAGAGAAGCTTACGCCTCTTGTCACTGGAAGGTTTGCACAACTGCGCTGCATGAAGAATGTAGTGTCCCTTCCGTGCGATTACAGGACAAACGAACGAGCCTGAATGACTCGTGAGCTCTTTACGCAGTGGCTTCTGACTGTGGAAAAGAAGATGAGAAAAAGGACGGAAGAAACATTTTAATGATAGTTGATAACGGCTCGGTGCACATCCTTAACGTACGACTGACTAATGTGTGTGCGCCTTGGGTTCCTTCCGCCCAACTGCACATCTGTGCTTCAACCCCTAAATCAAGGAATAATTAGAAGTGTCAAGGTGCACTTCCGCAAGTGCCTTGTTCAGCGTGTGCTTATAATAAACCTGCGACTTCAGCAGTCGACTGTCAACATATGACAGGTGGTGTAAGTGCTCACCGGCGCATGGTGGAGCGTCACTTCAACAACTGTTAGAACTGCTGGCGGAAACCAGGTCCCATGCACACGAGTGAGCAGCCAGAAGACGCCGGGCCGCCACGCAACGATGACCAGGCGGAAGAGGGCAATCTTGGCGAGCTTTGGAGTGAGGTGACTGATCTTTTGGCCACGGATTAGGTCTAATTTGACGATTATGTGCTGTGTGATAAAGGAACCACAACATCAGGAGAGCTGACGACAGAAGACATTCTTCAAACCATTCAAAATAAAGGTAGCGACGGTGGTGTGGACCATGCCGCAGACAATAAAGGTCGGACCTCGTCGCAACCTGAAGACTGTGACGAGGTCGAGACGGCCGCAGATATGATGGATATCAAGGGGAAGGCACACATTTTCTTCGCGAAAAACGCCAAAGCGGTCGACCGCACCACAGGAATGTGGATGAGCTAGAAGCCTTCGCGCTTCGAAGTTTGTCTTTCACACATCAAAAATCAAATCACAGAATTCTTTGAGTAAACGTGCATTTTTCGGTGTTCACTTGTGCATTTGTTTTTCCTTGTGAAGAACATGTTTAAGGACCCACTGTTGTAAAGGTCAGTCGTTTTGGTCAGCAGAAAATAAGTATTTATGGTTAATCTTTGGGCTTTCACTATAACGACCTTACAAAATAACGAATAAATTGACGCCGCCCCCTGAAGTTCGTTGTACTGAGATTTCGCTGTATTTCTTACAGCCTCAGCTATATATATGTAGGATCGCAACGTGCCTCAGTCACTACAAGTTCTTCGTTTCACCCTTATTTTTTCGGTTCCAAAAAGAAACCTGGACACAGTTCTCAAATCTGATAGTTCTGTGCAGGTACTGAAATGCGCAGGGCTCATTTTCGTCTGCCACACAGCTACCTTGCCTCGATAGCGCTGCATGCACAAGCAAAGTTGCAACGCCACCACCGATGGATAGGTGATTCGGGAGTGGCTTGCGTCGGTGACACCCTTGCTGCTGAGTGCAAGGCCTCAATGAATCGATGTAAAGAATAGCCCGGTTCTGCAGATGATGTTTGTTCAAGAGAAATACGTATTCACTGTTCAAAAGTTTTTTTTAAAGAAAAGATCTCTGCATAGCAAAGCTACCAGGGATTTTCTAATATCCCTGGTTTAAATATTTGTTACATTGTTAAATTTAAATATTTGTTACATTGAAATTTGTACGAGTGAGAGTGTGCTGTACTGTTTTTGTTTTTCGAACAGATGGAGCACATTGAAGGCGACCTGATGCGATTGACCACACCAAACATCTCTGACATTGACAAGATCCTTATTAAACACCAAGACCAGGTGAACATTTTTGTCTAACGTGACCAATGCGCATGATGCTCTAAGGCAGGAGCTTGTGCAATTTGCCGGTTTTCGGCTCCCATAGTATTTGACCCCTCAGTTCTCTCTTGAGATTTTCTGACCTTCTGTTTGATTTGCCTTGCAAAGTGTGAACCAGTTTCAGGCAGTTCAGATGACAGTGCAGCCAGAGCTTAACTCATGCATCACCAGTGCGACACTAGCTCCACATTGAAACGAACGCCAAAGTACAGGTAGTGCAGCCAGTGTACCGCCGGTAGCGTGCTAGCGGCGCCGTGATTTTCATTTGTTAGTTGTGTGCTTGTGTGTGTTTGAAAGCGTTGGTATGCAAACAAGCCATGGATTTTGTCACAACATGTGCAGCCATTTTGCAGTATTTTATGGAACTGATAAGAGTTCGCATGTCTCAATTATTATGCTATAATTGACCAGGTTGCAACGCAACAGATTAATGCCTACGTACTGCGAAGAAGTCGTGAGTCAGTACCTTGATTTTTTTCTAATGTGACTATAGGACGACCATTGGTCAGTGCTGAAAAAAAAATGTTTGGTAGTTTTGGGCTACTTGGGTGAACAGCGCGGTATACGTACCCCTTGGCCGACCGCTTCGACACTGCCGCATCTATTGCACACAGCTGTGTCAAGCGAGCCTTAGATTTTCTCAACAGTGCGAGTGCGGAAGTGATTGCTTGCAGCCAGACAGGAGCAGGAATGTGGCAAAGCCAGTTTCCTAGCAAAAAGTGGTGGTATGGGGCCTAAAAACACCATATAATGCATAGGCGGTCGACATGTGGATATAGAAAAACTGAGTCAGACTCCCATTTACTACAACGCGGTTCACGTCTTCAGTATCGGTGTCAACCATGTGCGAACGGTTGTGAAAACTCCACTGCTTGTACTCGAGCTGCACTACATCCAAACTCAGTGCAAGGTTTTTTCTGAACTGGCCGTGCACGATGCCTGCACTTTTTTAAAAGAATGGCCCAGTTCAGAGTGCGCCACCTTGCACTACAAAAACGAATGGTCGAGTGCGGCACCACGTGAACCAGTTCAGGCAGTGCAGGTAAATCGAACGGACCTCATATACATTTATTGACACCAAGACAGCACAGAGACACTAGGTGTGTTAATGGTGCCGATGTGCTTTGAGTGTCGTTTTAATTTTTCCCATGATATTAGAAGCAAATATAGGGCAAAATAAGCATACAACCCACTGATTTTGGCTGGGCTAATTAACCCAAAATGGTGTTTATGTTAGTGTAGCGATAAGGAAAGAAAACACCAAGCAGGCCATAAATGCCAAAAAAAAGGTGTCTCTTTATAAACACAAGCTCACTACCTTCTGTGGTTGCCCCACCGTCAACGGAGCCCGAAGTGACGTGCTCGTGGCCTTGGCGACTCTCAGGCGAGAGTGAGCGCTCATAGTATTGCGCACCGGTGTGCGCAAGGCGGGCAGGCGGGCTTGCGCGCCACGAGCTGGCATTGTTGTCGTTTTTCCTGTCGCGGGGGCCTGCATTGATGGGCCCTCCCCCTGCCTTTAAACCGAAAACAAAAATAGAAAACTACTTTCGCATTGACAGTGCCACACATTTAGTTAGGGTCACATATGAAGGGGGGTGGTGAATATGAAGGGCACTTTATCGAATACTTTTCCGCGGTATCTGTGTCGTTCACTCTCCGTTTTCAATTGTGTGTGTGTGTGTGCACGGTTTCACTGCGCATGCATGCTGTGTCCCCCCGAAGACGTTCAGCCTTGCTTTTTCGTTTCTTTTTTTAATGCGGACAATTATGTCCTCAATATCGAGGTGTTGTCAGATAAGGCGCTGATGGAAACTTTCCAAGACCACGGTGACAACGGATCTTCGGAGGTCGACTTGTCATGCCCTTCCCTCTCGTGCTTCAAGTTCGCGTACTGTACCTTTTGCAATTAGCTGATTAGCTCTGGCAACAACATAACAGCACGTTGAATGCAATATCAACAAATTGTAATGTCTACGAATTAAGTAAGGCTGGCAGCCACCTCTTTTGAATCTGATATCGCGGAACTTCTAGAAAATGCTAAATACGGCAACTCCAGGGAGAAGTGCTCTTTTTGAAACAGTCTCTTTGTTTTGAAAGTGGACCCATGTTTGCCGAGATAGCGATCGCAACCGCAGCCTTAAAATCAAAGTTCGCTATTGCTACTCAAGTGACCCCCCCCCTTCCTCCTTTCCCACGTTTTTTCATGCTCATTCGACTTGTGGGTTTAATTAGCATGCAACGGCAGTTCTAATACACGAAGAGATATTATCGCATGCGCCGTCCAGGTGATAGAGATGGGCCAGCTCGGCTCATTTGATTTTTGCGTCAGCAGCACTCGCACACTTTCACACGCTCATAAAAGTTAGGATGCACGAGGGCATTTTATCAATTTGGACTTCTTACGGAACATGGCTGCGACGATAAAAACCCACCAAGAGTGTCCATATATTTGCTATCACAAGTAATAAAAAAGTTTTTAACCACTATATGAATGTTTTAAGTTAGCTCTGCCTTCAGTTTCTCTTTGGTTTATATTGTGGTTTTATTTTTCAAATTTTAGTGCCAAAGCTGCATATAATGAAATCCAATTTTTCTGGGAGTTTGTCTATTTCGTTATATCCAGGTTTAACTGTATATGCATTAAGGGACGAGAAAGACAAGGTCATAACCAATATGGATAGGATAGTTGAGATAACAGAGGAGTTCTACAGAAATCTGTACAGTAGCTGAGACAACCAGAATGATATCACAAGAAGCAGTAGTAGCCCAGAGGAATCTGACATCGTCCAAGTAACAACAGGAGAAGTAAAGAAAGCCCTAAGGGAATGCAGAAAGGCAAAGCCGCTGGCGAGGATAAAGTAAAAGACAGACCTTTCGAAAGATGGTGGGTCGATCATGCTAGAAAAACTGGCCACCCTGTATACGAAGCATCTTTTGATGTGGAGGGTACCAGAATCGTGGAAGAATGCCAACATCATCTTAATTCATAAGGGGACATCAAGCACTGGAAAAATTACAGACGGATCATCCCACTGTCCATTGTCTATGAGCTATATATAAAAGCAATAGCTAATAGAATTAAAACATTAGTGTTCAATCAACCAAAAGACCAAGCATAATTTCGTAGAGGCTGCTCAACAATAGACCGTATACACTGTCAATCAAGTGATAGGGAAATGCTCATAATACACCGAACCACTGTTCATAGTCTTTATAGGTTACGAAGACGCATTTGAGTCGCTCGAGGTATCAGCAGTTATGCAGGCACTGTCGAATCACGGCATCGACGAAGCGTTTACAAACGCACTGGAAGAAATCAACAGCTGATCTACAGCCACCATAGTCCTTCATAAAGAAAGCGACAGAATACCAATAAAGAAGGACGTAAAGTGGGTAAACACGATCTCTGCGATACTATTCACCGCGTGTTTACAGGAAGTTATCAGGGCCTCCCCATGTCGGGAAAAGTTAGAGATAAAAGTGATTGTTGAGTATGTAGTAACCTGCAATGCGCTGATGACATTGCCTTGATGAGTCACTCAGGGGACAAATTACCGCTTATGATTGCTGAACTGTGCAGGGAAAGCAGAAGAGCAGTATGTCTGAAAATTAATATGCATAAAACTAAACTCATCTGTAACAGTCTTAGCAGAGAACAGCGCCTTGCTATAGGTGGCGAGACTCTGAAAGTTGTAAAGGAATACGTCTACTTAAGACAGGTAGTCACTGCGGAGCCGAACCATGAAAGTGGATTAGCTAGAAAAATAAGGATGGGCTGGAGCGCATTCGACAAACATTCTCAAATTATGAATGGTAATCTGCCACTAACCCTCAACTTCCTTCTGTATATATACTTTGTATGATGTTTCTTTTTCTGTACTAATAACTGAAATAAACTTGAGGAAGGTCTATAACAGCTGCATCTTGCCAGTACTTACGAAGCAGAAACCTGAAGGGCTTACAAAGAGGGTTCAGCTTAATTTAAGGATGACGTAGTGAGTGATAAAAAGGCAAGTGATAGGTGTAACCTCAAGAGACAAGAAGAGAGCAGAATGGGTCAGAGTACAAACCGGGGTTAAAGGGGCCCTGCAACACTTTTTGAGCATGGTTAGAAAAAGCTGCCGATCGGTAATAGAGGCTTCCAAAAGCATGTGAGCCTAATGTTATAGCGCAGCACGCGGCGTAGAATTCACAATAAATTATCAGTCAGCTAAGTATTGCTTTCTCTTCCCTCGACAAGTGATGAAAGACACTCAAAAATCACACTTAGCAAGCCCATCTTTTAGCCATTCGCTGATTTGAACATGGCGTACTCGGTCGTTACAGAGATCGCTGCGAGAGGCCGTCACTTGTTCACGCGTGCGCACGCAATCGTACTGAAAAAGTTGGTGTATTCGAAGGAAAAAAAAAAAGAAAACAGAAAAAGTGTTCAAGGTCGCAAGGCGTGCATGACGTTTTTTCGTTTGCCCTTTTCATCTCTCCCTGCTTAGCTTCCAGCACTTTCATCGAGACGAGGAAAGAGAGAATGCGATCGCAGCATGTCACAGATCTTTGTAGCTCTGCTCGTACTGGACGGATATTTATAATTTTTGCGCCGTTTAATTTTTTAGGCAATAAGCTCTTTCATTGAATTCATTCCATGGTTGCTCAAAAAAATGTTTCAGGGCACCTTTAAGGATATCATAGCTAAAATCAAGAAGAACGAATAGGCATGGGCCGGACACGTAGCACGCGTGCAAAATAACCGCTAGTCGTTATGGGTTACTGATTGGATTCCCAGAGAAAGAAAATGCATGAGGGGGAGACAGAAAGTTAAGTGGGCCGATGAGATTAAGAAGCTTGCAGGTATAACGTGGCAGCAGAAAGCACCAGACCAGGTTTACTGGCGGATCATGGTAGAGGCCTTTGCCCAGCAGTGACGTAGTGTTGGGAATCGCGTGTTTCTCAATTCGCGGCTGCAACTGCGCGGAGCTGATAGACAGAGCGGACAAGGTGACGGTGAGTTAAGGCAACATTTATGTACAGCATAAATAGAGGCATTCTCGGCCGACAGCCTAAGGAGCTCGAAGAGGCGGGGTGTTTTCGAACGCTCTGGCGCTATCGTCTGCTGCTTGTCGTCGCGCCTCTTGGTTGTTTTATTGGCCCTGGGAAGCCTTACGTCAGCAGCCTTCAATCGGAAACTGCCGAATGTCCTTGCGTCAGCAGCCTCCAATTAAGAACCGCCACAGGATTGCACCCATGGGCGAGTGGTACTGCTGCGCATCGCGTAAGACGCGCCAGGCTAGATGACTTCAACTGCATCATCGGGCGAGAATTGGACCCAAGGGTGGAGGAAGCTTGCTCTGCATTGCATAAGACACACCGTCGCCGGTGATTGCGTCAGCTGGGCTCACTCGCTGGTTTTGGTGCTGGTTACTTTTTCAGAAGCAATAAAGTTTGGCTTAGACTTCAAGGCATAACAGTGATCAGGCTGCTGCTGCTGCTGCTCTTGCCTTTTGTGCCTGTGATTTCGAAAGTTAGCTTTGCCACTATGATAAGGTTTTATAGGGGTGAAGCATGAATGCACTGTCATGGCACAGTGCAGCAGTGTATTAGGGATAAGTGCCATAAATGCATGGAGGCATGACGATGATAGGTGGCAACTGTACCTGTCCAAATAAATCCTTCAGTTAACTGCGTTGAAGAGCATGTGGCCTAGTGCAGTAGTGGACACGCTGCCTGCAACAACCCAAATGCGTTAACAAGATAGTGTTAGAGCTCGTTTCACAGGAATTCCATTGTTGATGTCGTTGGTTCTAAGTTAAAAATCATTTTTTGCATACCGAAAAAATAATAAATATGCAAATAAAATAAACGATAAAACATTCTTGGTCCGAGTCGAGATCGAATTCTGGTCGTTTGCGTGGCAAGCAGGTGATGATTAATCAACATTTATTGGGCCCAACGTTGTTGTAACTGCACCCAGGCATGGTACTCTAGTTGCGAGACCCGTATGTATCCAGCAGCTCCTGGCTCCTGTCCGTCGGTGCAAGCAGAGTCGGTAGGGCGAAGCTGGATAACAAGGTTTCCAGCCTGGTCTTACCTGGGTTGGGGTTTCAGGGGGTTGGGGTTTCGGGGTGTCAGTGGGAAGAGAAGGTGGGGGTTCTTAAGTTCTGTGCGCTCTGTTAAAATGGGCAGCAGGGTGCCATTTTCTATTTTGCAAAACGAACAGAGTGTGTTGTGTTCTGCAGGGTACATGTGGTTCAGTAGTAGGGGATGCGCAAGCGATCCTGGCTGCGCTCGATGCAATATCACCTATTGTTTTTTGGTCAGGTCGAGTTGCGGTTCTGGTAGTCTGCACCTTTCCTCTCGGTACATCTGGGTTATGTCTCGAAAGCTGGTAACCGAGTGCGGTAGCTCTTCCGGCTCATGCTCGGTCCGGATTGGCATTTCTCGGGCATGATAGTCAGCAATGGTGTTGCCTGCTACCTGTGAGTAAGCCGGGACCCACACATGCTCTACGGCTCTTCCCGGAGGGTTGTTCTACCACACAGCCACACGGCTGCTTGGGAATTTAGTGAAAATAACTTTCTATGCTTGAAAATGCAGTGAATGAAAATATCGTGCTTTACTAACACATGTGTGCTGTGTACATGCATACATGTAATATTGCATCAACAATGCGTGGTACAAGTATACATTGGCATCGGACGTCAGAACATATGATTTTCATATTTACTCAATGGTGTAAAGCGGGTCACCCGCTACAAAAGGTACGCACATAGCAAGTTTGAAAAGATGTCATGTTCTAAGTGTTTAAGTATGCACTAGGGACAGGATATTGCTGTCACATTCAACTCATAAAGGCAAAGCTGAAGGGTCCCACAATTTTTGCGCTACTGTTCACCCCTGTCTCTCTGTGCAAGCCAACTAAGTGCACTGCACAGATGCATTGCTTTAAGGAAGGAAAGCAGCTTGCCATCACTTCATTCCTATGCAGTCAAGAAATGAGGGGGTACGAAAAACACTCGAGGCGAGACGTGCATACAGTACAGCAAGGAACCTTGGTGTAATATGCTGCACGCAACTATGAATGGCTGGCTGGGTTTTGTGCAGGTGCTGAATTTACTTACATGAGCCTGTGTCAGCACCAAAATGCTTGATAAGTGTACCTGCAGTCCTTGAAAGCTATTTCAGATGTGACGGTGTCCATTTGAGTGCTTAAGCGAAGCAGAAATGAGTGCACACACATTTTGGGCTGCGCAGTTTTTTCACAATCTTGCACGTTAGGCATTCTGAATAATTGGACATTGTCTGTACTTTGTAGCACTACATCCGAGATAGCTTAGTTATGTGGGGAAAAAAAGCAAGGGGAGGAGGAAGAAATCTTCTATTTTATCTAAATGGTACTGGCGGCTAATACATGAACAGCAGGAATAGTTTATATTGTTCATGTACAGCATATTGCCATCAGACTTGATGGCACTGCATTGCATTCAGTGGCTAAAGTACAATGTGCATGAGATGTTGATAGACACTAATTGTCGCAGTGTGAAGCTGACTTCCGAAAAGAATTCATCCTCAAGAAATACATGGGTCGCATCAATGCCGCCTTTGATGCCCCAAGCGTGGAGAAAATCATTGAGAACCTCAAAAAGGACAATTCAGACTGGGCCAAGGAACAGCTCACCACACTCAGCAAAATGGTGAGGATGCTCTTCATTTGACTGTTATTGTTTCTTGGCAACATTCGGCGCGCACCCAGTGAACAGGAGAACCAAAGGCTAGGAGACAAACAAGCGCGAACTCCCGTTCTCCCGTCCACTTTGTGCACACCGAAACGTTACTAAGAATTTCATCAAGCCAACTCGCCCACCTTTCCATTTTATTACATTATATGACTGTTATTGCCTGCGAGAAATTAAGACAGTGTTGGTGGCGTTCCACATAATCATTTGTGACGAGATACATGCGTAATGATGCAAAAGGTCTGTCCTTGCTTTTCGTATAAGACGTATTCGTCATGACTACATTTTGCTAGCAAGAATAAAGCAGGGACAAAAGAAGGATGATTTCTCCTGCATGCATCTTTCTTCATTCCTGTCTTATTGTTGCTGATAAAATGTATTCGAATCGAAATCATCTAGTCCAACGCTGATTATGGAGGGTCCACCCACCATTCATGCAGCTAGACATCATTTGGTACGCTGCGGAACAAACAGGCTTAACACAGTCATTGTAACATAGACTAATGAGATGCTAACATCTTGTTTAGTGCACAAGAGATGTTCTCATGAAAAAAAATTTGTACAAATTCAAACCTCAAAAGTGTACCTGAGAATAAAAGCACCCAAAAGAAAAGAAACACAGAAGCCACAGGGAAGTACAGGATTATAACGACATCAATTTTTTTCAATACAGGAGACTAAGGATAATTCAAACTCTGATAATTTATACTTTTGGTTAATTCAAACAAAATTAAATTTTTTTGTTGGCCCTCTATTTTCGCAATGTAAACTCTATATTCGGCTAATTCATATTTTTTTGGCTACATTTCCAGAAAATATCTCCTGCTTTCCCACTACTATTTAAAAGTTACGGTGCTTATACAATCCTAACAGTCTAAAAATGAAAAATAAGCGTCTCAGGCCTTGAAGGAAAAAGCTTTGCTTGTAAACAAATGTTTGAAACGAAGCTTTTTTTGAAACACAACAAAAGTTTGAAGCACAATCTGACCATTGCATCCCACTGAGGGGAACATAAAGGTGCCATCTTTGCAGTATGAGCCTTAAATACAGCCTAAAAAGTATATTGATTGAGTTTTGAAGTTCGTAAAAGTGCTGACTCGGAAGAACAAGCACAGTGATAAGGTCATTGGGTGGGGACATTTTGTAAACAGCGCATATGGCAAAGGTTCTGGCCAGGTTAACACTGGCAGCGAAACCTAATGGTGCAGAGCCTAACCTGAAGTCTGCAAATTTTATATTGCACAGACTCGTCCACTTACCGATTCTTTGTAAAGCATTGGCAGTTAGATAACTGTCAACTCACAGTAGCATTCTCATTGCTTCTTTTTTTTTTTTTCACAACAGTGGCATGACTGTGAAAACAAAAACAAAAAAATCGCCGCTATATCTACAAAATAAATGATGTTAGAAAAGCTTGCTCGGAGGTGCACGAGGTGTTTCTTGGCAAAACCACTTCCGTAGTAAGACTTGTTGATGAGCCAGCGCATGATGTGTACGTTGGAAGGCAGCGTTGTCAAGCATGTTAACCACCTGCCCCTTTATGCCATACTGCCGCTGCCATGAGTCAAACGCCTAACGCTCATGAATGGCAGACAAGGAGCTCTCTTGAAGTTTGGTGCGGTTCTGGTTAAGATTTTCACCTAATTTCCAGTTACTGTGGAGAGAGGGACGCTTGCTTGAAATACGATGGTATGATGTTTGTGTCTCTTTACTGCAGTCACCACTGTCCCTCAAGATCACCTTCAAACTTCTCGAAGAAGGCGCTCGACTCACCCTTCAAGATGCTCTCAAGATGGAGTTCCGTCTCTCTCAACGCTTCATGCAGGACTCCGATTTCTATGAAGGAGTCAGAGCAGGTCTGTTCTGTCATAATGCACCCTACTATAACCCGGTAGCGAGTTGGGCAAGGCTGCTCATGATAATCAGCGCAAACAGAACACGTTTTTTCTCATCAAGCATGCATTTCATAGACAGCACCTGTGTCATCGTTTCTTTATCTCGTTCATGTTTTTGTTTGCGCTGGCCATCATGAGCACCCTCATGACGTGGAACCCCGATTTTACGACCTTCGTAGAACTACACAAAACCATCGTATAATCCGAGCATCATATAATAATAAAAAAAGCTCAGAATATAGGGTGTGACACTCAGCCTTGCTGAAAATATCAGTGCAGACTGCCCGAATAAGCTCATGCCAAGGCCTTGTGCTTCTCCAAGAAAGGTAAATTAAATTATTTTTTGCCAATGGCAGAAATTCTAAGTTATAAAGGTGTGTAGAAATCTTTATTTTCAACTTCAAAAAATCTAATCCAACGCCCGTTTTCCTCTTGACAAATTAAGTCTAAAAATTGCCTGCACCTGAAAATGAAACCGAAACTGTGTGACCAACAACCTCCCGTCAGAAGAATCGGACACAGTGCCATCGCTATCACATAATTCGCAATGACCACGGTCTATAGGTGGCGTGCCGTGCAATGCAAGATGCTGCGGAAGCATGGTCAACCCGTGAACTTGAATAGGAAAAGATAGGATGCACAGACGTATGCCTAGTGCCTTTTTCACCAGATGAACTCTTGATCGAAAAAAGGCTGTAAATCGGACCAGAGTTCTTTCCCAAACAATAGGAACTGCGAAATGTTCGCTACCCCATTTTTTGCCGCAGTGAGAAGGGTGGTGGTGTCAGCTGATTGACCGTGCATCAACAATGCATTGCGTTATCCTTTGTCAACATTGTCCTGTGCGTGCTACAGAAAACAGCGTGAACTAGAATCGGTGTATGAACTGAATCGCACTCCGGGTTAATTGGTACCGAGTCTGCCTGATGCAAGTAGGCTGATAGTGAGTAGCGCGCCATTGCGGCTGCGTGAAACCAAATGTGCAACTTGGCAGTGGTTTGCAATCATATGATGTCGTCGTTACTTGCGCTGTCAGCAACATGGAGTTGCTTCTTCAATGAAACACAAGCATTTAACTTTCTTTTAAGTAGTGCTTGTGTCATAACCATGGTCAGGCTCTAACTGTGTGCAATTCACTGCACTCGGATGTTGCGGGTTCCATCAGCGCGATCGAAACTAGTGTAAACTCAAGCCTCACATAACAAAGTTGTAGCTTACATGAAATTAAGTTCGTTCTATCCAGAAATTTGTTATAAATGTTTATTCCTAACACTATAACTATTGCAAGACTACTTTTCATATACTTTGTTATAACCGATACTCCTTTAATCGTGGTTCATTATATCGAGGTTTCAATGTATCGAAAAGAATACACTGGTTTACTTTGCGCAACGTCAAACAAAATTGTGAAAATTTGTCGAACAACAACGCCGTTTTGAAAGTACCGGTGAAGTGCAGATATCAGCGGAGAGGCATGGATTGTATTCGTAACTGCATGTTTCATTTCTTTTACCTTTTCGCTTTGCTGGTCAAGCTCGAGCGTGTTGGTGGCCTGCGGCACTCCGTAATATCCACTGTAATTGGGCTGCATGCAATGCAGAAGACAAACTATGCTTTTATTTTGCCCTCGCTGAAGCATATTATACATTGAGTACAATCAAAGTGACTGCCCACAAGCTTGTACAAAACATTAACGCACCAGGGGATGTGAAGTGCAACTCGCTCCGCATGAGTTAGCAGCTGATCGTTCATCATCACTGTTCCTCTCGGTGCGTCAACAGCCTTCTACTTCCAACAAAGAATCCTCATTATCACTATGGTTTCCTGCAACATAACTGCTGAAAGCAATCTGAGGGAACTCATCCACCGAACGACTTCAACAACACATAACCAGCGTCACTTACCACGTTTGTCTGGGCACAGAGAACATTTCACTTTAAAACCCGTTCACAAGCGAATTGCTTGCAGTGTGCTGCAATCTATGAACAAGTGCGCAAAAACAAGCGGCCGGCGTTGGCTGTGTTCTCGAAAGCAAATCGCAAGCCCATATGACTTTCCGCGTACAAAGGTGTAGTATTGTGCGTCGGTTGCGGCGCACGGAGAACACAGAGCACGGCACTGAAGCGCTGGCCAACAAAAAGTACGCAGCAGCTGGTAGCCAAGCAGGAACTCTTTTTTACTATGTGCCAGCATCGCTAATATATACATATGTACAACGCTTTCTAGGAGCCAGCCAACCGGTTCCCAAACTGGAACCGAAACCATGGCACCACAAAAGGAAAGAAGGGTAAACTTAAGGGCTCGTTTTTTTTGTTGTCAGAAACAATATTAATGAAAAGTGACAGACAATTATACCAAGGAAAGTACAGGGGATATTATTAGAAGTATAATTTTAATTTAAATGAAGAAAGAAAAGTGGATGAAAAGATAGCTGGCCGTGGGTAGAAACCGAACCTGCGACCTTTCAATAACATCAGCCCAATTATTTTATTGGGTATGTATGTGCATTAAAACGTAGGTACGTCAGTCAACACCTGTTGCCATTACGGCGAGTGTGGGACACTCATTTTTTGCCTATTGGCGTCACATATTATTGATCTTATTACAAGCTAGCAGCTGACAAATAATCTCTCGCATACCACCTGAAAGCACGAAGTCTGCCAAAATAAGACGCTTGCATACAATGAATGTTATGGGATTCATGTACAACAAAAGCACTGACGAATGCTATATGCACATAAAACACGGGGAGGGAACAATCTCGTGAAGCTGATATCTGTACTCTGCGGGCAATAATCGAAAGCGCGAGTTGCCAAGTTTCTTGCTTCACAAAATCTTCGTCTTGCAAGAACTAGTCAGATTTATCGTCTCACGGACAGTCTGGTTTATTCACTGATGGACAAAGCATCAATAGTGGGAAAGCTATGCCAATTGCGCCAACCTGCACCAATCGGAAATTACTGCGCTCTTCTGCTCCTGTCTCGCACTCTACAAGTTCATACATTTAGTACACGTGCATATTTCGTCAGCATTCGATTCGAGTAAAGGTGATTTGTTTTCTTTTTGATTTGATGAGGAAGTCTTTAAAATGTGAGATCAGTGATTAACTGCATCGAGGTTTTTAGTAAGCTTGTGCAAATATTCCAATGAATACTACTGCATCCAAGTTCACTTCGATTCGAATTTAAATTGTGGAAAACGTTGAAGTATTTGAAATAAATGAACATGTAACTTTTTTGTAGACTTCATTCTGTTGGCACACCCATGCATTGTACAGGATGTAGAAGTAGTTGGCAAGATCCGATGCAGTGATCATAGAATGGTAAGAGCTTGTATTCACCTAGATTTAAAAAAGCGAAGACAAAAACTGATACGCAAGAAGCCAATCAATGAACTAGTGTTAGATCGAAGGTACAGGAATCCAGAGTTTCACTTCAGAATCGATTTGAGGCACTAAACGAGGTAACCAACGCTAACGTTAACACAAGCAACGATAATTTTATTAGTATCATCAAAGAGTGTGCGGTGGCATGGCCGCTGTATAAAAAACAAAGTGCAGCTTGTTGCGTGGTGCCAAAGCAGTGATATAGGCCTAGTTCACTTTGCACCTGCTTTTGGCACCACCGCTTCTTCGAGCGAAAATTCTCTGACGTGCATTTCTATGCAGGACAGTAGGCCGTAAATAACGCATTTCGTAGCTATTCATCACAGGTTCGATTCTGAATCGTTATTAGAAGTATACTTATTACATCACATATGTGAACAGTTTTGTCCTAGGAGGTCTGATCTTTTGTAGAGTACAGGCCTCAATGAATGCTGCCCATTTGATTTACGAGAACGGTAAATGAGTGTTCTATTGCGGAAATAATTGAGAGTAGCTTTACTTCTTTCTTAGAGTCGAAGCACTCAGTGATGCAACACTGAGGAGAGTGGCCGAAGAGCCCGGACGCCCTTTATTCTGAAATTAGCTTTTCCTCTGTGTCTTTGTGACAGGCAATATGGCAGTTCTATTCCAGGTTGGGTAAGTTATTAAATCTGACTCAGTTGACAAATCAGTTGCACATAAATAAAGAGCGTCAAAAGAACATATTGTAAAGAAGAGGCAGTGCTCCGGCCCAGAGGCAGCAGCATCGAGCATGCAGCAGAGGCTCGATGCTACTGCCTCTGGGCCGGAGTACTTTCTCTTCTTTACAATATTCAGAAATGATAAGTGCTTTACTGTGTAGGTTTTTTTCTTTTAGCTCTTGTCGTTGTTTCTGTTGGCCACATCCCACTGGCTCGCGAAACTCACTCCGTCAATCCTCCTCGTGCACCCTTTTTTTCCATGAAAACAGCTCTGCTTGAATTATAAACCACATAACAATGTAGTTAAGTTTGCATAAGAATTATAACTAAATTCAAATTCCACGTTCAACTTGCACAGCGGCACACAACAGCTTCGCGGCATCACACCGCTAGAAAACAAGAAAACACCGTCTGCTACAAACGCGCGCCCTATAAAAACCGTACTCTAGCACAGAAAATATGTTTAGCTGCCCAAGCATACAATCACACAGCAGTGGCCATGCACAAACCACACAACAAACCATACAAACACTCATAAATTCTGCGGTGACCCCAATGCTGCACGCCCCGGCGTCTACTTTGCGTACGGGAGCAATGACATTCTCCCTCTTCCTGGCGGTCCCTGGCCAGAATTATTCTTGAGCCAGGCTTCCCGACGCTGTAGAATTTAGGGTAATTTATGGTACTGCAAGCTAGCGTCTCTTCTCGCGTTCGATATGCCCAGTGGCACACACAGTAGTACAACAGGCTCGTTGCATCACAAACTTAAAAAAGAAACATCTGCAAACGCACACACAATAAAATTGCCCTCAAACACAGGAAACATGCGGCAAATTGCCCCCCACATATGATCGCACACGAAAAAGCGCACGGACCCGCACAAATCTTCACGCACC